GCATCGAACGAAGATCAGGGATACAAATGACTACCAAGAAATTCAAAATCAGATGGGCCGGACACAATGCCATATAGTGATGACCTTTGAACCGGGGCGGTTACTCACTGGATTCCTGAGGACGTCAAGCGAACACCAGGACAGCCGCCAGCGTGCAGTGAGATGGTGAGACTTCTTCACGAAAGCGCTGAATGGAAGGAATGCTGGGCCTCGTGTCCCTGAAAAGAGAACGATTTACTGATCACTCTAGCTTGTGATAGGGCCGAATTGAGACGCTACCGGCGCCCGCCCGAGGAAATCGACGATTAATGGGGTGACAGGTTATACAGGTGAACTTGTTATGCACGGTAATAAAACTCCTAAAACCAGTGAGTTAGAATTTTTCCTGTCAAAAAAACCTTGTTTTCATTAGTTGATAAGTTTTAACTCGGTTAGTAACGATATGCAGACGGCACAATTACCGCGGAGTCTTTACACCTAGAGAAGACACTCCGCGTCTGAGTGCGAGGAGAGCTTAATTAAGTGCGATCGTACAAATGTTTCCACACCCAGGTAATAGGAATTGGCAGGGCGAAAAGGAGCGTTTCACGAGTGTCGGCATTTTTCTTTATTAGCAGTTCCGTTCAAGATTTCCCACAACCTATTCATAACAAGAGAGAACCATTAGTTGAAGCGCACGATTTTTTGCCTTGCGTGCTGCGTGCAGTGCTACTTATAAACAAATTTCAGAATTTGAATCAAGAAAGCATATCACAATTGGGGAAGATTGTGCTTATATTATATAAATCGATCTTTTAACAACATTTTACACCCGCTTGGGCTGTGGAACCCTGGTGAGTTGAAATTCGAATTGCAGGTTTGAAATTGTCGTCACATTCGCCAAAAGGGGTGATGCGCTTTTCAGATACTGAGCAAATCGTCTCGAGTTGCTTTCGGCCTTTGATGGAGACGATAGCGTCGAAAGACAGGCCGTTGGATTGATAAATTGTTCTACCAAACAACCTCGCACGGCACAAGGATATTTTTAATCATAAATTCCAACAACTATTCACATCTTACTGGACTTCTTCGGCACGCGGCAGGTAGTGTCGAAGAAGTTTCCAAACTCTGTCACCTTGCTCCTCCTTTCCGGTCTTATGTTCTCATGTTCTTCGGCTCCTATAACTAGTTATTTTCCTGTCACTGCTATTTTTTTGGATAGCACATGGAGTAAGAATATTACGATGATGACCTGGAATTAACTTATCCCTATCGACAGCAAGAAAAATACGAGTGAAAAATTGGCATAACAGAATTCGAAAAATTTCTGGTTGAACATACGGGATTTGCACCCAACCACTCCTGTAGACAATATGTCGCATTCACATTTGGTTGAGAAGATATACGTTTGTGATATACGTTGAATGATCTTATAATTGTGAGTGTAAAGGGATCGTGTTAAAGCTTTCTTACGCTACATACTTATAATCAGATTAACTCTCACTTCTGACTTCGTAGTAATTCTATAATGCGTAGAATTTATGCTTTTACTGCGAACGCTGAGTCATCGCAAAGCCCATAGAGCGATTAGATGCTCATTTAAATAGAATGAAACATGCTTCATTGGTAGCTTGCCATAAATAGCTGCCATAAAAAAGCTTAATTTCGTCTCTTAAGAGATACTTCCCATAAAAATATGAATGGTGATTGAGCAATGGCTTACTTAGTCCGACGCATTGCGCCTGTAAATGTCTTACGTTGGAATCACTAAGTATTACTACGCACAATATGCATTTACGCACTTTTATTTGCGAAAATTGAGCAGATATTTATATACAAAACAGAAGGAAAATGACAAAGGCTCCTTTGTGTATCATTAGTGTACACCGTTTCTGAGCTGAGCAGTCCGTTCTCAGCACCTAAAGCACTTGGGGCAGATGAGAAAAGGCTGATCAAGAGACCTGAGGCAGACCATCTATGATAAATAGCATAGTGGCGCTCAGGCACATCACGAGGAGACATGCCCTCTCCTCCCATAGTCCACATCGACGCGACAAGTGACAAAAACCGTGAAACTGATAGGCATCAACTGGATTCGCGAGGTATAACAGTTGACATGAAAGGCACACTTTCTAGCCAGTACTACGCACCATTCCGGAAAAGTCTATGGTTAAATATAATTCCACCAATATCAATCGTTAACGTAACGCACAACGGTTTTGCAATAATTAAACTCTTAAGTGGTTAGTACAGCGCTTCATGGAAAGGAATCTAGATGACTGCAGATGCAATGGTAAGAAGTATTAATGACACGAACACAGATGAACAAGATTTCGCTTCCTGTGGGTTGCCATGCTCGGGCGCTGAGTAATCACCCTCGGTCGCTTCATGATCTTCAGCTTCAGCGCTCATCTTGTCGTCAGACTCAGCCTTCAAAATATGTCTCAGGAAACCTCGAAGGTCATGGATCAAAAAGATCACTTGAAATGAAAAATACCATTTCGACTTTTTCCTCATCGGCCTCACTTGGTATCACTGGCTCTTCTTCGGTAGCTTCCACATCCTCCGGCTCCGTTGGAACAGTGGGGACCTTTGTTAACCAGAATTCGTGATTGTTTGGAAACAGAGGATCACAGAAGTGCTAGCTCACTGTATATAGGTGGCTAGACGTTGTTTGTTAGGAACTATCACTTGCTAATTCGTCTAAGGTTATTTAGTTGCTACTGAACTTGCTAACTATCACCACACGATGCTCTAACCAGTCACCTCATCTGCTGAGCCACAAAAGGCTCCGTTAAAACCTTCATCGCAGACGCACTTTCCACATTCACAGTGACCATTGCCGGAGCACTCCGTCTACAGAGAAATGTTTACAAATAATAAAGAAAAATTCCGAAACAGATATCCTAATTGCTAATTTTAGTAAGTTCACAAGTTTACGAGACCGGATGTCAACATTCAAAGATTTTTCTATTTAAAATACCAGTTGGCTTGCCCGCGATACCATGCGCATCTCAGCAGAAACCACCTTCCCTCCCAAAATGGAAAGACCGTTGTTCCACTCCAACAAACAGCTTTATATCGAGAGCGCAGATCTCTAGCAAACTGAACTTGAAGACCATCTACATTGGTTTCTGCCTCCAAATATTAACCGAGATATTCTAGAAAAAAGAAAAGAAAAAAAGGGCCGTAAACTCATTCATCACTTTCTTATTTATCCCCTCACCAATGCGGAGTACGTGTACTTAACCGAAGATGAAATGGGAATTCCTTTGCACTCCGTGTTCTGTAGTACCACAGAATATGTAACTGTGCAGGTTCTTAATGGTCTTGGTATGAATCACAATCTAATATTCCGAAACTCTTCTTTCATGACACACAATCATCATTCTATACGAAATGTTATATTTTGACTCGCTCCAGCTTGTTTTTCTTTGTCTTGTATATAGGCCCACGGTACGAGAACAGGGTGGTGTTCTCCCCATCTGTATGTCAGCATCGACACAATAAAGCTTCGACAAAGCTCCGTCTTCAAAACACTCCGGTCGTATATCCACCCACTTCGAAGTAGGCATTTGATGACATTTCAGCTGACAGTCTCGGTGGCCACTGCATTGTTACGAAACTTCACGCAAAGTGTTTTATAAGCGCGTAAGCAAAGGTTCTACACAACCCTTCATTCTTGAGATAAGTGTCTCCTCTGATAAGGCGAGTGGACAAAAGTATTTTGTCCTAGCTGAACAATAAAGCTTTCTACGGGCAGGTCCATGAGATTTATAAAAGACAGACGGTTGGTCCGAACAGCGCCGAGCTCTCCTGTTTCTTATGTTGAATTTTAAATGCCTCACTGAAGCCTATCATTGATATCGCCCTATCCTCAAAAAAAAAATGTAATCAGCAGCAGCCCCATCAAATTGCGATTGAGCGCTCAATTACACGATAGATTGATATAGCATATATCCCCACAGCGATATATCATACCAAGGCAGTGTATCGCACCACAAATGAAGGCTACGCGTATGAAGGGAGTCACATTGTGAATTAACGCTTCATAACCTAGAAGGCTTCAAGACAGGATCGTCAAATCGAGTTTCTCCACTTTCTCCATTACCCCTTCCGGATTCCAGTCCTGAAACCAAAACTTATGATGGGTCTAATTTTAAACCTACTGATGTCCTCAACGTGTGCGTTATAATACGGAAGTTCCTACTTCGGAATCAGGAACAACTATATTCTGATCCTTCAAGAAAAAAGACATTTCCCTCTTAGAAAGCGTACGAAATAGCTTTACGCGAAAGTTGGCCATACGATGCAGCGGGTTGGGCTACAAGTTCATTTCTGGTAGCTCTGCACGCCGCCGTATTCACTCACTTCCAGTTTCTATTTAAAAAAAAAACGTCAACGACCCTTTGATGGCATTCAAAATCCTTACCAATGGGCTTCCGCCAATTTGAAAAAAAATTTTCACGCTGAATCATTCCAGAACGCGCGGTTGTGCTGTAAAAATTAGGTTTCCAACGGTGAAAGCACAGGTTCGAGCCAAATACTTCTGAGTCAGGGTTGTACCTTCTCTTAACGAAATATTCAAGGAGCACTTCATGCGTTCTCTTTGAGCCTTTAGAGTTACAGCAAAAAAGCCGGTTACTGCAGTGGTTTCCTCTATTCCTAATAATTAATGCTTGCAAACTCCTTTTGTATTTCTTACATTGCTTTGTTTAGTCTCATTTGTTATATTTCAGTCTTTCGATTTCCAGTAGTATTCATTCTAGGAATATTACGTGTGGTTCTCGTTCGCGCAGATTTGTAATATCCACGTGGACTTTGTTCACGTCAATCGATAAAGTTAAAGAGGGATACGACCCTATACTCGGGTGCAAGTACACACCTTTCTTGCACCATGATACCACGAAGAATCAATGAAAATCCGATATGATCTCGGCGAATACTGCAATTCTCTTTCAATACTTTTACAAACTGCTATTTCCTTATTTTGGATTGACAAGTGCACAAAATTTTTGGTACTATTCTACTATTAAAACCCAAAAACTCAAAATTTTAATTTTCGATGAAACTTCGCCTGTAGGGGTAATCCGATGCCCTGATAACGAATATGACCTTCAATTTCGGTGCTGGCGCCAAGGGTGTTTTCACCAAATTTGCTAAAAACTTGTGTACAGGGGTTATTTGAGGTCCTGGTAACGAATACAACATTCATTTTTGGGGCGCTAATTTGGCACTAAATTAGCGCCAAATGCCGCCAAATGGCGCCAGCGCCAAGAATGAAGGTCAACTTCGTTATCAGGGCATCGGATTACCCTTATAGATGAAGTTTCATCGAAAATTGAAATTTTGAGTTTTTGGGGTTGTAATATGTAGTAGAACAGTACCAATTTTTTTGTATCAAATTAACTACTGCCCTCCTATAAGCGGTTTTAACGTCGACCCCAGTGAGCGCTAGACAACTCAAAAACAGTACCTACGCTTCAAACAATAACAGTACTCCTTTTTGCTGTCTATGGAAGCTATATAATTAACAAAGGTGTGGGGAAGGGTGGCACTATTATTTGGTGCTGTTTGGTGCTGGCCCAGCATGTAGTTTCTACTTCCAGTTTACTTTTTTACTTTTTCTATTCCTGATACAATAGGGTTTTCATTGACGTTTGGTCTTATGTTAATGTTTCAAATTGGTCAAAAGACCACCTAGAACTATGACTTATAGTAAGTTGTGACGTTAAACTCACTCCGCCTTCCGTACATGTGCCCTTGTCCGTACTGCAAGAGCAATCCTCTCGTTCCCATCCTTCCTCACATCTAGAAAATTTGTTCAAGTATTCAATTACTTTTATTTGATTGAAAGCTTTTTTGTGAGGAAAACCACCTGCATGTTCCACATTCGCACACACCATTTCCACTGCACTGCCGTCCATTAGCTCCAGTAGGGCAAGATGAATGATCACATTGACAGAATCGACCGCTGATCTAAGGAGCACTATTCTGTACTCGAGTAACTAAGGTTCATTAAGTAAATAGTTAAATAGTAATTATTAGGGAGCCACATCACGATTGACCCATTACCAGGGCTCTTCACTGGGTGTGCGACGTTAGTCTCGACTGATATTACTTCGCGCCGAGGTGCGAAGTGACCTCAATCGTGACCAACCTCATCTTAATTACGCGCCTCCCCTCGATCGTAACTAACCTCATCTTACTTATGAGAGTTATGGTGAATGATGAGAAAATGAAACTGCAAGAAAATTAGTTTTTCAACGTAAGA